TAGAATATGAGACATCGAATATGCAGAGTCAAGTGGAAATGAGGAAGAGCAGCCAGAAAAGATAGAAGGAAACAAAGAGAGTGTCAAACCTGGAGAACTGAAAGAGAAGGGATGTCACCTCGTATTGATTGGCTAGTGGGGTGGTCATTGGTAACCTCAGCAAGGTTATGAGAATTATGAGGCATGTACTGAAGGGTGAGTGAGTGGGAGGATGTGGTGACAGCGTGAGAAGAAAATTCCTTCCAGAAGCTTGGCTCTACAGAAAAGTAGAGAGGTAGGGTCCTATTAGAGGGAGTGGGAGAGTTGAATGTGAGACCAACAGCAGGTTGTTTTGGTTTCTTTTTGGGATTTTTCTTTTTAGATGGATGACACTAGGGCTTTTTTTTTTCACGCAAATAGAAAAAATCCAGTAGAAGGGCCAAAGAATATTACTGTCTTCTAGCTTGCTAGCAACTGATGGTTTTTAGCAAACTGGTAGATAGTACTCAGTAGTCACAAATACTTATGCTAAGTAAGATCCACTTCTATAAACTTACACTTGAAATAGAAAAAAAGTTGATGTTAAAAAGTTTGTCCATTTGAGTCCTACATCCTTGTTAGACAGGTAAATGGCATGAAGAGGTTTCTTTTATGAAATATTTTGTTATTCTATAGGAATCTTGTTTTACACATAAATGACAGAAATTTATATTAAGCATTTTCCTTCACTAAATCTTTAGTTTGTGTCTTTTCATAAAATGCCACTGAATTTTCATGTCAGTAAGAGAGGTCGGTAAATTTGAACACAGAAACTAATTTAGCAGTCATTTAGTGAGGAGCTGGAGATTTTAGAGCTGCCACTTCTAAAAGTGGAAAAGACGTGGATTAACTGACTTTTTTTGCTTCTGTGGAATAAAAAATTAGAGCTGAAAAGAAACAAAGCCAGAAATGCGTGACAATGACCATCTTTTTGTAGGTGAATTAGATTGGGAATTGTGAAGATGATTTCATTCACACCTGCACATGCATCCTTTGAAGCTCATTACCATTTCTTTTGGTATTCATTTAATAAATATATTCCTGAGCGAGGCATATTGAAATACAATTTACGTTTCTTTACAAAAAATTAAGGACTTCTTTTGCCATCTGCCTAGCATACCTATGAATGTCCTTACCCCAACTTTTAGGATTTGGAGTTTTTAGGAATCCAAACCTTTAAAGCCCAAGCAAAACACAATTGTAAGGTAAATTTAGTATAAAGAAAGGACAGTTTCAGTCAAAACTAAGCATAAATAGATTTTGTGTCAGTTTCTGTTTGGGATTCCAAGTGATGATGTTTACTTCCAGTAGCCCAAATAGTTGGTAGATAATTTGGTCCAAAGTGAGCCTATCAGAAGAGAAAGGAACCTTGGAAAACAATAGGCTTTAGTTAGTTGGAAAGGGAAAGCTGTGATTTTAAATAGCAAGAACCATCCCAGAAAGCAAGGAATGAGTGTAAGAAAAAGAAGAACCAAAGCAATGTAAATATCATGAAAATCTAGTTTAAAAAAATGGTTTGGCATTTGGGTTTAAGAATGAAGGAGCGGCCAGGCGCGGTGGCTCAAGCCTGTAATCCCAGCACTTTGGGAGGCTGAGGCGGGTGGATCACGAGGTCAGGAGATCGAGACCATCCTGGTCAACACGGTGAAACCCCGACTCTACTAAAAATACAAAAAATTAGCTGGGCATCGTGGCGCGTGCCTGTAATCCCAGCTACTCAGGAGGCTGAGGCAGGAGAATTGCCTGAACCCAGGAGGCGGAGGTTGCGGTGAGCCGAGATCGCGCCATTGCACTCCAGCCTGGGTAACAAGAGTGAAACTCTGTCTCAAAAAAAAAAAAAAGAATAAAAGAGCGTACTATAAACTTATTAAAATAACAAGTTAAAGTTAGACTTATTTCTTTATTTGAGACAAAGTCTCTCTGTGTCACCCAGGTTGGAGTGCAGTGGTATGATCTCAGCTCACTGCAACTTCTGCCTCCAAGGTTTAAGCAACTCTTGTGCCTCAGCCTCCCAAGTAGCTGGGATCACAGTACCATGCCTGGTTAAGTTTTAGTAGAGTCGGGGTTTCACCATGGTGTTCAGGTTGCTCCTGAACTCCTGGCCTCAAGTGACCCACCCGCCTCGGCCTTCCAAAGTGCTGGGATTACAGGCGTGAGCCACTGAGCTTGGCCAGACATATTGTATTTAGATGTTTATGATAGCTTGCCATTAAAAATCAGGTTATTGCTTGCTTACATTGGCATATGGGTGGAGAAGAGGAAATGGATTTTAAAATAGAATTTGCTGATATAGGTTATTTATAATGGTTTATTTGTAGGAATAATAAGAGCTTATGCCCTTTGAGAAATGTGGAATTAGATATTGATTCTAGTGATATTCCAGCATTAGAAAGCCATACATTTTAAAGTTTTATTACTTTATCTCTCAGTAGCCTTGACAGTTTTATTTTATTAAAATTGGTCCAAACAGCAATGATTTGCATTTATTATATTATGCCTATAGTGCTGGAAAAATTAATATACCTAGGAAATACATCACAAGGGCATAGTAGATGATTTTGAGGTATGAGCTGCTGTGATTTGTGTGATAAATAACAGGTAAGGTATTATATGGTATAGTCATAGATTAAAAGTAATGGTACTTTATTTTATTCTTCAGATAGTTGGTAGGTGGTTGTTGGGCTCTATCCATTTTACATTTTTATTTAGCTTGTGTACTGCTGGCTCTCTGCTTTGGAGATGGTCCTGGATTTAAGAAAAAAGCAGATGCAAAATGATTTCCCGACTAGGATGATAACACTAAAATCATGGGATACTCATTTGCTCGGGTAATAGAATTAGGAACTTTCTGAGCAAGTGAACACAAGCTAAAGTTGTTGATTTCTGCCTCACAGGTGGGTGGTAGTCTATGAGGTCATCTACAGAACCGTGCCAGAGGGGGCGACTCTGTCATTCCCCTGAATGTGACATATCCAGGACTGGGTTTAAGAACAGCACATCCAGCCAATGGGAAAGGGAAATCTAGGGCAAGTGGCTTTGTCTTTATGAAGATGTCCTAAACATTTAATACCTTTTTTTTTCCTGTTGTCTCCTTCTGTTGTCTTAATCACACAGCCACAGCTCATTGTAGTCTCAAGCTGGGTGAAGGGGCCCCTGCTAAAACTGAAAGCTTAGTTACCTAAAGAAGATGGAGAAATGGATTCCGGGGGGAATATTTCTGGCACAGACTAGAAGCTCCTTGGGATGCGGGTTAGTGGTTACAACAGATAAGTCTTGTTTCTAAGTCACAAGCAGTGCTTGGCTTATATTTGGTACTCAGTAAGTGTTTCGTGGGTTGAATTCACTGTTAAAGCTAATCCTTTCTTTTCCAAAAGGTGGAATTTGATCAGAGGCTCTACTGCCTTTCCTCCTCTGCTGTTTTCTCTATATATAATTTATGTCACTTTCTAGGATAAGCATACAAAAGAGAATATAATGCTTACTTTTAAGATTTGCTTCAAAATCTAAAATGTATTATAACAGGAAAAAAAGAAAGTTTGTTTATTTTATTTGCATTACTACCTTTTTCTGTATTTGGATTGATATTTACATATGCTTTGGGCAACTAAGTACATGCCAAATTGGTATGTCTCTTTTATTCAACAGAATATCTGGTGATTGTGAAGAGTAACCTTAAATAGAAAACACAGATATAGCATTTAGTTTATAACATAGATTGGTATTTATGATGTTCCCTTCTTCTTCAAATTATTAAAGAAATTTCTATATATAGTGAAGATAGAAGCTAAGAGTTACTCGTTTTATTTTCACATGATTCTGTATTATACCAATTACATAGTTTGCTTAAAGCACTACACTAGTCCTTTGCTCATATTTTTACTATGAAATTAGAATTAGGAAGGGAAATTATATGACAATAATGACATATTTGTACTTGAGATACTTACTTCATATACCTAAGATAAGAAATTGCTTAAACTGACATGGTATCTACTTGGCGTAATAGCAGCTTTCTTGCTGCTTAGAGCAAAAATCTGCTTTAAAAACCTAGTGGTTTGTCTTTGTAGTTGGAGAAAAATCTAATAGCAAGAAATAAGTTCTTTAGCTATTATCATGTTCATTGTCCCCATTTGGCATGTCTGGAAACTGAGGCACAAAATCTTAAAACATATTGACTTGCAATCTTTGGGAATATGATGTTCATATTTTAGAAGGTCTTTTTAAAGGATGTATTAGCAGATTATTTTATATTAAAATCTGTTGTTTGAGTTCCTTATGAGATAGGAGACAAACTTACCTTTCAACACTCAAGGGAAATAGGGGGAAGCCAGGAAGAAGATGAGAATTAACTTGGGAGGGAAGGAGAGGTGATACTACCCGTGCCCCTCCAGGTATGGCCAGTGGGACAGATCCTGAGTCCCTGAAGAAGCTGCTGTTGTAGCTCAGTTGCTAACTCAAAGGGCGATAACGGGATTAGGAGAAATCATATGGGAAAGGCATTTGTTCCTTGAGGTATCCATAGATTCAGGGGTTGAGAGGACCCTCTCAACCTCTCCTCTCAGGAGGAGAGAAATGAAAAAGAATGCTTCCATTATTAGATCATCCTTCCCAGGGATTGAAATATATATGCAGGCGATACAGCAAATTTAATTCTTAATTGAATGTAAGATATTGAATTATTATGACATTTCTTTAATGACATTTAACAATCCATTGTGGCAAAAATCTAATAGGAATGAAGCCTGTGATCATTACAAATCAACTTTCCCTCCTAGGTAAATGTTAGTTTGGAGCCCCTGGTGGGCATCCATCTCAGCGGTGAAGTTGACAGGTCGACTGTTGGTTGCGTGGAATAGGATGGGGTTTCGTAGCATCTCCCTCTCTCCTTGTGGTTCTCTTGAGCCGTTCACGGTGAGCATCTTAGTTTTCTTGGGAAGGTAGCTGCATGGAGTGACCTGATCTTCCTTTTTTTCCGCTTGCAGAACAATCAACCATGACGACAGAGTCTGGATCAGACTCGGAATCCAAGCCGGACCAGGAGGCCGAGCCCCAGGAAGCGGTGGGAGCACAGGGGCACGCGGGAGCGCCCGGGCCGGAGCCGCCCACCGAGGAGCAGCAGCAGGCCCTGGAGCAGTTCGCGGCCGCTGCAGCGCACAGCACCCCGGTGCGGAGGGAGGTGAGCCCAGGCCAGAAAACCAATGACGCGATGTTTGCCGAGCTGCTCCAGGGTCGGCTTTAACCTCAGTCTGTTAGCATTAGAGGCAGCTATGAGGGGTCATCTGCCGTTCCCCTTCTGGCCCCAGGAAGATGAAAGTGTGTGCTTTAAGGCTTTCAGGGAGTGACATTCCATAACCTTGCCTGGTAACTCCCTTTATTTAATTAAAACACCGACATTCACTGAAGTCCAGACTGGAGATTATTGGTCCTATCTGGATTTAGAGGAGGGATAGACACCAAACTGACATCTTTAATTATGCTTGTGGTTGTTTTGTCTTTCAAGCCTGAGGGCTAGAGTGAGTTTGCATTTCCCCAGGCATCACCCTGACCCTAATATTGCAGATCTGCTTTCAGCGGATGGTCAGGTAGGTCTTTCCCTCCCTATACACACCTATGTTTTCAACTCTTTTCTCTGGACATGTTTGAGTAGTCAGGAATAATGCATTTCTTTTAAAAGTTTTAAAGTATGGTTTACATGTGGGCCTTGAATAAGTCTATATTTAAATTTCTTTTTTCTTAAAACTTCAAACTTAGAATCAGAATGTTTTAGAGTGCCGATTTGTCTTCGGTAAAGCAATCTGGAGTCCCCACAAGTGATTGGCCTCTTATATGTCACAAGTGTTTCAAGCTAGAAATTCTAAGACGTTGAGAAAAGAGATATAATCAGCATATTAGTGAAAATCTTTGGAAGTCACAACATTCAACTACATATTTACAACCATATTATTTTATTTCTTTACGTAGGGTATTTACAAGTTTGCCTTTTTTTCACCAGTTTTATACTTATTAAAAATTTGAGGCCAGGTGCAGTGGCTCATGCCTGTAATCCCAGGATTTTGTGAGGCCGAGGAAGGTGGATCACCTGAGGTCAGGAGTTCGAGACATGGTGAAACCCCGTCCCTACTAAAAATACAAAAATTAGCTGAGCATGGTGCCACACGTCTGTAATACCAGATACTCGGGAGGCCGAAGCACAAGAATCACTTGAATCCGAGAGGCTTGAGCCAAGATTGCACCACTGCACTCTAGACTAGGTGCCAGAGCTAGACTCTGTCTCAAAAAAAAAAAAAAAAAAAAAGAAAAAAGAAAAAAAATTTGAGGTAAAATATACGTATAAAAAGTCTCTTTAAAGTGTACAGTTCAGTGGAGTGGTATTAAGTATGTTTATATTTTTTAAAATTCCCTTCATCACTCCTCTTCCCTACCCTTCTCCCTATTCTTCCCAGCCTCAGGTAATCACCATTCTACTCCCCATCTTCATGAGATCCCATTTTAGCCCCCACATATGTATGAGTAAGAAGTTTTGGTATTTGTCTTTTGGTGCTTGACTTAATTCACTTAACATAACAGCCTCTACTTCCATTCGTGTTGCTGCAGATGACAAGATTTCATTCCTTTTTTATGGCTGAAAAATATTCCATTGTGGATATAAACCACTTTTTAAAAAAATTCATTCTGCTGTTGATGAGCACTTAGGTTGATTTCATATTTTGGCTGCTGTGAATAGTGCTGCAGTAAACATTGGAGTGCAGATGACTTTTCTATGTATTGATTTTCTTTCTTTTGAATGTATATTCAGTAATGGAATTGCTGGATCATATGATAGTTCTATTTTTAGTTTTTGAGGAACCTCCATACTGTTTTCCACAGTGGCTGTGCTAATTTACATTTCCACCAACAGCTTGTGAGCCTTCTCCTTTTCCCACATTTTTGCCAGCATCTGTTACTGCCTGTCTCTTTGATACATGCCATTTTACCTGGTGTGAGATGATATCTCAGTTGTGGTCTTGATTTGCATTTCTCTGATGATTAGTGATATTGAGCATTTTTCTCATATACCTGTTGGCCATATTTCTTCTTGGTTTTCTTTCAGGAATATCTGTTCAGCTCTTTTGCCTATTTTTAAATCTCACTTTCTCTTGCTATTGAGCTGTTTGAGTTCCTTATATATTGTGGTTAATAATCCCTTGTCAGGTAGATACTTTGCAAATTTTTTCTCCTATAGCTTACTTTGTTAGTTTTTTCTTTTGCTGTACAGAAGCTCTTTGGCTTGATGTAATCCATTTGTGTATTTTTGTTTTGATTGCCTATGCTTTTGAGGTCTTACAAACAAACAAACAAACAAAAAAACAAAAAAACTCTTCTCAAACCAGTCTCCTGGAACATTTCCCCAGTTTTCTTCTAGTGGTTTCACTGTAACAAGTCTGACATTTTTAAGTCTTTTAATCCATTTCTGTGAAGAGTGAGAAATAGGGATCTAATTTCATTCTTCTCGTATAGTTTTCCAGTATTCCCTACACCATTTACTGAAAAGACTGTCCTTTCCCCATTGAATGTTCTTGGCACCTTTGTGGGCTTATAAAGGATCACCTGAGGTTGGGAGTTCAAGAGAGCCTAGCCAACATGGTGAAACCCTGTCTCTATTAAAAATACAAAATTAGCCAAGTGTGGTGGCACATGTCTGTAATCTCAGCTACTCGGGAGGCTGAGGCACAAAAATCATTTGAACCCGGGAGGCTTAAATATGTGGATTTATATCTGAGTTCTGTATTCTGTTCCATTGGTTTATATGTCTGCTTTTATGCCAGTACCATGCTGTTTTTGTTATTATAGCTTTGTAGTAAATTAAGAAGTCAGATAGTATGATACCTCCAGCTTTGTTCTTTTTAGTCAGGATGCCTGGCTATCTATTCAGGGTCTTTTGTAGTTCCATATAAATTTGAGGACTTTCTTTCTAATTCTGTGAACACTGTATTGGTATTATGATAGGGATTCCACTGAATTTGTAAATTGTTTTGGGTAGTATTGCCATTTCAACAGTATTAAGTCTTCTAATCCATGAGCATGGAATATCTTTCCACTTTTTTGTGTTCTCTTCAATTTCTTTCATCAGAGTTTTATAGTTTTCCTTACATAGATCTTTCACTTCTTTGGTTAGATTGCTTCCTAGTTATTCTATATTTTGTAGTTACTGTGAATGAGATTGCTTCTTGAGTTCTTTTTCAGATAGTCACTATTGGCAAATTTAAACACCACTGATTGTTGTATGTTGATACATTCTGCAATTTCCCTGAATTCATCTATCGGTTCTCACAGTTTTTTGGTGGAGTCTTTAGGTTTTTCCAGGTATAAGATCATGTCATCTGTGAGCAAGGCTAACTTGGCTTCTTCCTTTTCAATTCAGATACCCTTTCTTTCTTTCTTTTGCCCAGTTGCCCTGGCCAGGACTTCCAGTGTTAAGTTGTAAAATACTGAAAGTCGACATCCTTTACTTGTTCTTCTCCTTAAATGAAAGGTCTTCGGTTTTTCACAATTCAGTACAACGCTAGCTGTGGGTTTTTCATATGTGGCATGTATTATTTTGAGGTATGTTCCTTCTATACTGATTTTGATAAGGATTTTTAATCATAAAGGCATGTTGAATTTTATCAAATGCTTTTTGGGCATCTATTGAAATAATCATATGGTTTTTATTCTTGATTCTGTTAATATGTTGTATCGTGTTTATTGATTTACCTATGTTGAACCATCTGCAAGCATCCCTGGGATGAATAACATTTGATCATGATGACTGATCTTTTCAGTCCCCATTTTAATGTGGTGTTGAATTTGGTTTGCCTGTATTTAACTGAGGATTTTTGCATCAGTGTTCATCAGTGATATTGGTCTGTAGTTTTTGTTTTATCATTGTCTGGTTTTGGTATCAGGGTAATACTGGCTTTGTAGCATGAGTTTGGAAGTATTCCCTCCTCTTCAGTATTTTTTTTTTTTTTAATGAAGAGTTTGAGTAGGTTTAGTATAGTTTTCTTTACATGTTTGATGGTATTCAACAGTCAGACCTTCATGTCCTGGGCATTTTTCGATAGAAGGCGTTTTTTGTTTGTTTGTTTTGAGATGGTGTCTGGCTCTGTCGCCCAGGCTGGAGTGCAGTGGTGCGATCTCAGCTCACTGCAACCTCTGCCTCCCTGGTTCCAATTTTTCTGCCTCAGCCTCCGGAGCAGCTGGGACTACAGATATACGCTGCCATGCCCAGCTACTTTTTTGTATTTTAGTAGAGACAGGGTTTCACCATGTTGCCCAGGCTGTTCTCAAACTCCTGAGCTCAGGCGATCTGCCCGCCTTGGCCTCCCAAAGTGCTGGGATTACAGGCGTGAGCCACTCTGCCTTTTTATTATAGCTTTGATCTCATTACTCATGGCTATTTTGTTGAGGTTTTCTGTTTCTTCACAGTTCAATTTTGGTGGGTTGTATGTGTCTAGAAATTTGTCCATTTCTTCTGGGTTTTCCAATCTGTTGCCATATAATTGTTCCTAGTAGTCTTTAATGATTCTTCATATTTCTTATTTCCCAGTTGCTATGTCTCCTTTTTCATGTCTGATTTTGTTTATTTGGGTCTTCTCTCTTTTTCTTAGTTTAGCTAAAGGTTTATCGATTTTGCTTATCTGTTCAAAAAACCAACTTGTTTTATTGATCTTCTGTATTTTTTTTTTGTTCTCAATTTCATTTATTTCTGTTCTGATCATCATTATTTCTTTTTTTCCTAATTATAGGTTTGATTCATTCCTGCCTTTTGAGTTCCTTGAGTTGTATCATTGAGTTACTTATTTGAAGCCTTTCTGCTTTTTTGATATACATATTTATTACTCTCAACGTCCCTCTTAGTACTGCCTTTTTTATATCCCACAGATTTTGTATCTTCCATTTCCATTTATATTTCAAGAATTTTTTAAAATTTACTTCTTAATTTCCTCACTGACTTATCTTTGGTCATTCAGAGCATGTTGTTCAGTTTCCATGGTTTGTGTATTTTCAGAGGTTCCTCTTATTGATTTCTAGTTTTATTCCATTGTGATCAGGAAAGATACTTGATAGGATTTTTATTTCTGGTTTTGTTTGTTTGTTTGTTTAGTTTGTTCAGACTGTTTTATAGCCTAACATCCTAACATATGGTCTGTTCTG